CTCACTGACCATGTTTAACGTTTCACTTCTTGTTGCTTTTGTTGAGTGATGGAACAAGGAGACATCTTCCTTTCATCTTTCATTTGGGAATATGACTATCACTTTGGATGATGTCTTCTCTATGTTCCATGTCTCTATTATCAGTAGATTTCTTACTGCTCCTGTTATTAACCAGCCGACAGTTATGACGGTTGTACAAGATTTAGGAGTCACTAAGGAGGTCTTTCTAGAGGAGTTTAAACTTAACAGGGGAGCTCACCTTCGATTTTCTTGGCTTTGGGATAGGTACCACGACCTTGTGAAGGCGCATAGGAAGGAGGTTGCCTCTAGGGCGTACATGCTACATCTAGTATCATGTACTCTCTTTGCGGATAAGTATCATGTTTATATTGATGCTTGGTACTTGTGACAGTTTATTAGCCTTGAGACTAGAAGTTGGGCTTAAGGGTGCACTAGATTGACCATCATATATACAACACTTGGAGTTGTGAGTGTCTTTGAGACCAGACAGCTTGCTGGTTATTTGAGTCTATTCCAGGTATGCTAGAAATTATTATTTGGTGTTTAGTTCTTATTTGATTGTTATTTGTAAATTTTCTTAATTATTGTTTGTTGTGTCTGTCTTCTTTTATCATTGTTAAGTATACGAGCATTTCTCCACCGTCTTTGATAGGAGGGTGCAACATACCCCTGCAGGAGCCCAACTTACAAGGAGATGGAAGGCCAGGAAATTGCATCCAAGTGGTGTTGTGGAGTACAAGAGCATGCTTTATGCTCTTAGAATAGAAGATGTCATCTAGACACCACACATATCACATAGCCCAATGTGAGTTTGACCAGTCTTCTCTATTTTCAGGTCATATGAGGTTGGAGACCTTAGTGGCTAGAAACTTTCCTGAGATATGTGTACGTTAATATGAATATATCCAGGACATCCTACGACCAATTCTAGATGTTCCAGTTAGGGGCAGTGACAGGTGGTTTCAAAGTAACATCATCCGCTCTGCATGTGCCATTAGAGATAAAGCATGGAAGGTTCAACACAACTCATAGTGTGAGGATGGTTACCTAGAGTGGCACCTCACTATATTACACCCTCACATCATCCCACCTGTTGTCACGCCTTCAAATGCTGGGGTTTTTGAGGTTGAGGTATCGGCTGACGACGTGCCGCCACCACCACTTACACCAGACACGGATGAGCAGGAGTGCCTACAGATAATCATTGTTATTATGAATAACCTCATGGGTTCGGTAAACCGAGATGGTGAAGTTTTTACTAGAATATTTCGGGCAACACACATAGCCCGTGAAAGGCTTATTTAGTTATTTGATTTTACAGTTGTATTTTTTGTATTTTTTTACTCAGACTACTTACCACCACCGTACCTTTTATTATATAATATTTTGACGATTACATGTTTCGAAGGTGAACATAAGTTAAAACATTACAACAAATATAAATTAAAAATAACGAAACAAGAAAATCTAGACACTACCAGATGATTATGTATATTTTAGTATCTTGATTATGTCGTCAATAGATCTTGAAATATTTGCATCAAACTCTATTGGCCCTTAGTTAGTCTACGACGAAATGATCTCCACATGACCATCAAATCCTCATCAGTATTCAACTCAATAAGGTTATATTTTACCCTTCCATCAATATCAATCTAATCTTCACAAAATTCGATCTTTCTCACCTTTCTATTATCGGGGTATTATGAAACAATTCATTCAACTTGGATGTCAAGTTGGCGAGAGATGTGGTGCCATCTGAAAGACGAAACTCAATGGGAGGTTTATCTAGGTTGAATTACACTTCTACCTTAATAAAAAATTAAGGAAGAGACATTTTGAGATGTTTTTCTCAACAACAAATGATCCCTATTTATACAGCTTTGGATTCATTGTTTACCACAGAAAATTGGGGGTGCAATCACAACCGCATAAAACTGTAGGCAAAAACCTGATCATTGAAAACTTTGAGTTACAAAACTATCAGAAATTTCAAATTAGCACTAAATTTCTAGTATAAGATGTCAAATTTATAAAAAATCCAAAATAAATTGCTACTCATCGGAATTTTCAAATAAACTACCAGAAATTTAGTGGTTACCGAAAATTTTAAACATTCTACCAAAAATTTTGTTCGGCCAATTGATTCCATTTTTTATCATAAATACTTTTAGCATTATCAAATGGAAGCGTCAAGTTTAACTGGAGGGATGGCAAGTCAAATTCTCCAAGAATATTTATAGTTCTTTTTGTTCTTCAAAATTTTCACGATTAAAAAACAAAAATCGAGCAATAAATAAGGATTTAGAATTGGGAAAAATTATTTGAATATTAGTAATATGTAATACGAATACATCAATCTTAAAATTATAATAAATTTAATAAAGTAATTAAATTTAAGTGGTTAATAGACTCGATTTTAAAACAAATCTTTTATAAAAACTCAAAATTTTACCGTAAAATAATTTTAAGTAGGATTTTATTAGGGTGATAAATATTGGGGTAATTTAGAGGGTCAACGAGATAACATTTTTCGCTTTTTTCTTTTATGAGCAACATACTTTGTGAAAGACGCGTAAGGTGATACCATTTGTTGGAGAAATTTTGAGGGTCAATAATGAGAGAGTATTTTTCGCTTTAAGATTTTTTTTCTTTTATGAGCAACACACCTTTTGAGAGACACTAGTTACTCATCCAAAATCTTAAGTTGATAGATGTGTGAGTTCTCCTACTTATAAATGCTCAAATCTCCGCATATTAAAACCAATGTGAGACTTTCTTACACTAGTTATTATCAACAATATAACAGATATGACTTGCTAGACAATATGCATTTTATTTTTCATTTTTTGTGAGGCGGGTTAAGGTTGCAGACATGTACTCTCTTAATCTTATTTTATGCAGAATTTTACGTGGACAGGCGTTAATATAAAATTTTAAATTTTTTAAAGTTTTAGATATAACTGATCCACTCCGTCCTCATTTTATGCAGGAGGCAAAGCTTTAAACTTATACTCTTAATTATATCCGTCCAATTCTACCTTTTTTATTTTTTTATTTTTACGTGACACACCTATACGAGCTTGACATGTCTCTAGAGTTGTCAAAATGTGTATGGTCCATAAGCCTAATAATTTAATATAGATTGGGTCGCAAAATATCTTAAAAAACACGATTCTATTTTTTTGGTCCAGTCCATCAAATTTATGTTTTTTATGGGTCAGGCCGGATCAAGCGGGCTTTAGGTTGATCGATTAAAAAAATATTTTCGTAAATTTTGAAAAAGAAAAATATTGAAATAAGATATTATTGCATAAGTGTGTTTTCAAGTAATAAAAAAAAGTTAAAGAGGATGAATATATATTTTCAAGATAATATGATCAAAGAAATGGTTGTGAGATGAAAGAAAAATTTGATAAGTATTTGTGATAATATTAAATTACTCTGTACTTTTACATAGATGTTTTTGTGATATATATATATATATATATATATATATATATATATATATATATATATATATATATATATATATATATATATATATATATATATATATATATATATATATATATATATATATATATATATATATATATATATATATATATATATATATTGATTTGATGAATATTTTAAACATCACTTGACTCTCTACTTATATTATATAACTTTTATCCATTATATCTTTTTTATAAAATTAAAATTAAAATATTAAAATACGAATTAGACTGGTCCATCGAATTTTACAGGACTTTGAAAAACCAGTCAACCTTATTTTCTATAATTCATTAAATAATTGAATCGGACCAAACTAACCAAACTAGACTAATCTATTTAAATATTTTAATTCACGTGACCATGACAAGTTAAACCGAACTAGACCACTCTCCTCCGACCAAATGAACACCAAAAGTGAGATTATAAATTAGAACACCTAAAAGGTTTGATAGGTGATGTCAAGTGATGACATAGAAGCTTGTGTCCTTGAATGGCCAAGAATGCTCCATGTGATGTTCTTTCTATAATACATACAAATTACTTTAACTTAACTAATTAGCTAATTAATTAAACATACCCCACCCCCACCCTTCCCTTCTAAGAAATTTCTCACATACATTATTCAGATATTCCAATAGAGGATTGCTATGTTATCACCCTAAATGACACTAAATATTTACATCATACACTGTTTACAATGTTTACAATATATATACGATAAACAGTGTTTTTAAATTAAAATAATAATATTTTTTAAATAAATAATTATTTAAAAACAATAATATTAATTATGTTTTAATATTAAATTATAAATATATTAATCAACTTTTATATTTTATTAACTAATTTTATTTTACTATTTAATAATTTTTTTTATGTCTTAAAACTCATTAACCAAGTTATGAATTGTAATAATTAAATTCTGAATGGTGTATATATTAATTTTTTTATATCAGAATATATATTAATCATCAAATTTTAATATTTATTAATCAAATTTATTTTAGAGAATTAAAAATCAAAATAATATAAAAACACCATTGACATATTTGTGAACGATATATATATATATATATATATATATATATATATATATATATATATATATATATATATATATATATATATATATATATATATATATATATATATATATATATATATATATATATATATATATATATATATATATATATATATATATATATATATATATATATATATATATATATATATATATATATAATTTTCCCTTCCAATAGCTTTCAGAAGACACCTTACCGGCAACTCCTTAAATTCTTCAACAAAAAATATAATTTAAATGTACTTTCCACGTTATGCTTCTATCTAAGTCTACAAGTCTTTAAATAGCCTTTAAAATTCTCAAATTGCATAAATAGCCTTTCCACGTTATACTCTATAGTTCTTCTTGATCATTTCATCTCACTCTTTCTATTCTTTTGTGATTGTTCATAATCATGTTGGATTCTATATTGGAGTTGATTACTCAAGCTGCTTCTAGCTCAACATTCATTTTTTGCTTTTGTAATGTGATCATAGTGATTATTTTATTGGATTTAAAGCCAAGTGTAAATTTTCATCAAAAGAGTGAAATCTATCTTTCAATATGTGAAATTGAATCTCAAAAACAAGAAATCAAGTCCAAGAGTATAAAATCATTGACACAAGAGAAAGAAATCTCGCACGTTGACATGAAAGCTGAAGAAGAAAAAGAGGAGGAAGAAGAACAAGACGAAGACGAGATTGAAATTGGAAACGATGATGATGTTGATTGCAACAATGAAGAGGAAGAAAATGAAGATGAGTTGAGGAAAAGAGTGGAAGAGTTTATTGAAAAAGTTTACAAAAAATGGAAAGAAGAATTGTTGAGCACATCAAGATTAATATATGCCAAAAATAATAATGAGCTTTTGGTTATATAAAATATGATTTTAAATTTTGTTGTATTGAGTCATTTGAATTATCTACGAATTTTCAATGTTAATCATTTTTTTAGATGGATATTCTCAAACAAATCACTCTTTTACTCTCATACTTTATAAATTTGTAGTTTGTAAATAGTTGTATTAGAAATTTATACTAAGAGATCAATCTTTCTCGATAAGTCATTTTTATATTTAAAATCTTTCGGATGAATGAATCATTCCAAAATATTTTATTTTTAAGTAAGATTTGAAAAACTAATAAACTACTTATTCGGACAATCATATAAACTAGAAAGAGTTTTTTGAAATTGTTTTTAAGTTTTTGTTTTTACATTATTTAATATTATTCAAATAAAAAAAACAGTCTTTACAAAACCGCTGATAATTGTTAAAAATACTATTTTATTAAAAATCTGCGTAATGTATGATATGCAAATTAAATGAAAAGTAAAGTCAACTAAAGTAGATATAAATAATAATTGTTGGCCCACACATGAATTTTAAAACGATTTAATTATTTAACCGTTTTTGTTTGTAATAATTAGAGAAAACTACCAAGAACTTGCAGCAACTTCAATTTTGTTTTAAGAAACTTCAATACATTGAACTGTTCACGTTGGAGTGTTCTTAGTTAGTTGGATCATTAAAATATTACTTAATAGTTACTCCTGCTACTTTAATCAGAGTTAGAGCTGTCAAAATAAACTATATGATTTTAAATGAGTCGACATTAATAGATCTAAATTTTTTAGAGTTGAACTAAAAAAATCTATTTTGATATGGATTTCAAAATTATTATTTGAGTTCGGTCATAGATAGATTTCGGACTATCCGACGCTAAACGAGCTTTTTGATAAAATAAATTAAAATAAAAAATCTATAATATTTATTATAAATAACATAAAAAATTGAAGTTGAAGATGTTGTCTTAGTCTCATAGTTATGACTTATACTTTGTCTTTTTTATGAACTGGATCCATGCTATCGCCTTATGCTCTGTTGAACTTTTTTAATTAATTCAATCTTTTTTTGATTAAAAAAATAAAAAATAATATTATTTTAAACATAATATATTTTTAGTGCTATATTATCTTTTATAAATACTATAATATGTTTTTAAATACAATACATATCTAAATTGTAAAAAATAATACTCAATTATTTAACATTAAAGGAACTAATAGAATGCGAGAAAAGAGTTTTGATTATATTAATGTGTAATATTTAAAAGAGAAAGATTGAATAGAATGAAGACAAAATTTAGTGTAATGAGAAAAATCAATGTGTTATTTTAGAATAATACAATATTAAATTTAATATATATATTTTTTAAATTTATAGCTATGCGGGTCTAATGGACTACCCACGACTCATGCGAATAACCCTAATGGGTAGTAGACTTTTTAGGACTGGGCTAAAAACCCCTTAAAAATACGAGCTCTAATTTGAAAGCTCAAACCCTATGATTTTTCAGGTCAGTCCATATGAATTGGTCCATTTTAACAGCTCTACTCCTTGCTTACTATCTTAAAAAAAATAGTGAAAATTTGAATTGTAAGTTCTAATAGTTAGTCAACAAATAATTTATGTATGGAAAAGTATCGAGCATAATAGTTTAAAGTATTAAAGGTATATTGATTAAATCATACTATTTAGATTTGTGTTATGGTATATTAAGAACTGATCGTACCTGATTAGAAGGAATCGTCACTGGCCCACGAGTTTGAGTTGAACGACAGTTGTTGAGTGAAGGGAGATGTGTACCTGCAAGATACTCTGATGTCAAAGTAAGAACAAGAGCAATCAGAGTGCAAGTAAAATAGTTAGTGAGTGAATGAATACCTGGCCCTCTCAAGTGAGAGGGTATTTATAACCCTTAACGCTGAACCAAGATTCCCATTTGGGCTGACTAAGCAGACCCAAAATGGAGACTCTCAGGTCCTACGTGTATAGTGGAGACATGAACATGGTCTCCATTCTGAGTGGATTGCTCTGAACTATCAGGAGGATGTGGATGCGGTCTTTTCGGGGTCAATAGGATTCTGCGATATTCTGAGGCATTGGATGCCTGCCCTACGAGGAGGGTGCTCACGAGGACCTCTTGAGTGTCGTTGATCCTCCTCAGCAGGTATGATGTAAGTTATGTCCCCGGGGAATATATCCTTGATGAGAGGAACAAGATCACTGCCCGACATGGTCAAGGGCAGACTCACCCATGCTGGTCTTCTTCTACAACACAGTTAGATTGGGCGTTGTATGATGTTTGGGCCAAGTGCAGGCCCAGACCAAAACAGGATCCCCCCAAATCGTTTCTTCTAAAGTGAGGAGCTATGACTTAAGACCAACTTGTCGGTCCGACAAGGACAGCTACATCAGGGTCCTTTGTTTCTTTAAGGGACAAGGTCATCCTTATATGGTAGATGTTTGGATAGAAGTTAAAGTGTGTTTGCGGGGATATTTGACACGTTTCTCGATTCGCGGAGAGATGAAGAATTTGCATGAAAATCACTTTGTGGGCCACTTGGCGTAGCTCTTAGGGTAGGATGATAGCCTAGGGAGTAGAGGTCATTATGACTCTGAATGCGTGGGTGGCGGTGAAACGAATAGCTCACACGTTATTCAACGCGATGCTTCGTCTTCCGTACATGTTTTATAAATAGCACCCAAGGGATCATTTGTACTGTTTTCAAGTTCTTGTTTCCTTATTTCTTTTCACTGCCATTAGTTTTCCTCTCAGTCGCGAATACCATTGCAACTCCCGCCGCAGAATCCATACCAATTTCACTCAAGTAAGTGTTTCTCTATGATCATTCTTGTTTATATATGGTTTTTGCATTTTATGGAAATTTCTATAGGGGTTTCTCTACAAAATTCATGGATTTCCTGAATTTCACTATCTGGGGGATTTTTCCTCAGGATATTCATACCTCTCTTCGTGATACTCACGAGTTGGCTCGTGAAACTCATCTGCTCCTTGCGTAACACATGAAATTTCTCGGGGAATTCATCCCCTCCTCACAATGTTCATGGGATTACCCAGGAGATTCATCTCATTCTTCGCAATACTCATTTGATTACTAGGGAAGTTCATCTTCTCTTCACGGGACCCATGATATTGCTCAAGGGATTCATCCTTCTCTCGTCGCGTTCATAATATTGTTCGCTTCTCGTTGATCAAGGGTTTGTCGATGCAGTTTGGTCGTAGAAACCCCCTTTCACTTGTTTTACGGTGGAAGGGTGAATTTGATTTATCCATCAAATTCACTGGTTTCCTCTTCTTTACAGGTGAAATGGTCGAACCAGATGAGGTGGCCGCCAAAGACGAGCACATCGAAATAGAAAAGGCGAGTGGAGTCGACGAGGATCTCCACTTGGTCAACACTATCACCAATGAATCATTATCTTGGGTTTGGCCGGAGCCTCGAGGAATAGCATCGGTCTTCTACAATACACAGAGGGAGGCGTACATATTCGTCGAATATGGCAGTGACCAAGAAGGTTTCAGAAAAAATTTCATGATCTTTCGCCCGACCCCTACGGCCAGGATATGCTCAAATTTCCAAGAAGATCGCTTCCCTATGTATGAGATCGTCTTCAAAGATTTGGGGCTTCGTTTGCCCTTTCACGACTTTCAAATGGGCATCTTTAATTATTTGTCTCTGGAGGCCTCCCAACTGCATCCCAACGCGATCACCTTTATACGGGCATTTGCGATCACTTACCGATATCTAAGAATTAGATTGACGATTCCCTTGTTCTTTAGGGTTTTCCACCTTCAACGATAATCTAAGGGAGGAAAGCATAGTTGGGTTTCTTTCAAGAAACCCAAGAGACTGATCAGGATGTATATGGACTTTGTCCGTGACTTCAAGGAAAATGGTATGTCGTGCAACCCTCATCTCAAGAGGTCGTGGATGTGGTGTTCAACCCAGCTACTGTCATCGACAAGGACAGGGAAGTTTATTATGACGAAGATGGAACCAAATAGATCAGGAGGCTCTTCAAATTTCCTATCCATTGGTGTCGGTCTCATTACGACCATGGGCCCGGTCACTACCATACTTCTGTCGATAGTATGTGCAGCAAGGATGAAGGGGCCTTCAACGTCCTCAACAAATTCGTCGATGATTTCTTCCTCTCCAGATGGGTGACGCGGGAGGGAGACGACGTCCTTGATGGTGATGGTGAACCTACATTCGAGGTGCGCATGATCAATACCAAAGTATTCATTGAATGTCGTACTTATGGAGATGTCGTCGCTCTTCTAGGACTCTACCCGCGCATTTTTGTTGCCTTTTGTTTTAAATTTATCTGTATATGTCCTCCCCGTGGTACTAACTCGATCATGTTATATTTGTTTTTGCTGGTAAGATGGCAGAGCATCGTGAATATTTGCTGAAATTGACTCAGGATAAAAAGAGCAACAAGAGGTTAGTGAATCCTAATTAGCCTACTCTCATTGACTCTATCTTCGTCAGGGTCTCATAATGTCGTTCAGCTTGCGGCCCTGTCGGGGAAGAAGAGGGGTTGCCCTGAAAATTAGCATGTGGATTTGACTGAGGATGGACCGTGTGCTCAGGCCTTTAACCTTCCTCCTTGCTTTGTTGAGAAGGATTTTTTGAAGGGTTTCCTCTGGCCATATCTAATGATAAGTCTGCCATTATCAGGCGGCTCAATGAGGAGGGTAAAAGAAAACATCTGGCATCGAGCATGGTTAGTCTAATGAAGGTTGCGAAGATGGTTGTGATCCTCGTAGGTGAGAGGGCCAGTTCTTCTGCCATGGTGAGCAAGTTGGAGTCGGAGAAAACAACTCTCTAGGAAAAGGTGAAGAAGCTGGAGACCTCCCTTGGGCAGAGCAAAGAAAATTTCCAGGCGCGGGCTTACGAGCTAACAAATAATAAGGAGAAAGCATCCATATTTTCTGAGGAGAGGGATTCATTGCTGCTCGAGAAGAAAAATCTGGAGAAGGAGGTCGCCGACTTAAAAGTTGTCGTACT